GTGCATTATAGTAAGAATTCAAAACCATTCAAGCTTATTTGTATTGACATCTTTCTATCCTCAATATTTCCTTTTATGTTAAAGAGCTCCAAACAGTACAACAATAGTAAATGTGCTAAAGTATGAGTGTAAAATACAATTGTTTAAAATTGTCATTAGTTAAACAAGACTTGCTTCTTCGTATACACAGGCCCCCACCCCTGCCCCCCAAAATAGGTTAAAAAGAAAAAAAGAAGACGGGCCCCCACCCATAACCCCCTCCCCGGCTGAGCAAAACAAAATTAGTGCGCACTACCCCCCCCCCCCCCCCCCCCCCGCTTATTTGCCGGCTGTTTCGCCGATAAATATTTTCTCACGAATAGGGTCCACTCCTGCGTATACATGCAACTGATCGAACCATTTTCATAACTACTTCATCAACATGTACTGCCCAATTAAGATTGTATTCGAGAATAACACCAATGTTTTTAAGTTTCTAGTAATGAACCATTTATAAATATCAGAAAATCAAAAGTGTTTCTTTGCCGACGGGATGATTTTTGGGGGATTTTTTTGGTCTGAGTTAATAATCATTCCATTATTTTAAAAACATTCATTGAGCTTATTATTTTGATTGTAAACCTGAATTACATACAGCTTTATCGTCCGCATAAAGTGAGAATGTGAGTATGTGGATTAAAATTTAGATTCGAGATACCATTCATGAACATATAACGAAGTGATCCTAGTATGAACCCTTGTGGGACCCCTATTCGGACGGGGAGAAAGTCATTTATTTTTTCCTTTAAAAAATACATATAGCTTGCTGCCTGTTACGAAAGATTCAAAACATTTCAACTCAACTCTAAGGTACGCTTTTTAACACAAAAGCAAGTCATGGGGTAAAGCGTCAAAAGCTTAGTCTAAGGTCAAGGAATGCAGCGCCAACAAATTTATCGTCATCAAAGTTCCAATTCTTATATAAAAAGTCGCAAATTTCTGTTAAGCATGTTGCGGTTAGGTGATTAGTTCATAAGACCGACCATCTGTGGAATGTTCTTTTTTTTCATCCAATTCATTTAAAGCCATATAGCTTTTTGATGAGCCCTTTACCCCCACACACACCCACACACTCACACAATTTTTTAATCCACTTTTGAAAAGCAAGGTACTAACAGTGACCTGATGTTGTGATGAACAAAATCACTTGCGCCGGTGTAAAAAATTAGAAGTGAATTATCTTTTAGTCTTAAGTCGATATTTGAATCATTTTTGCAAATCTGTGTTAATTTAATACTTACCGAATATTTACATAGTGGATTATAAATTAACGTCTCTGCAGAATATCCAGGAGTGAAATATGTACACACTATATATTCACACTATCATTAATCACTGCACATGGCCTCTAAATAGCTACATAAGCAGGGCCGTTACTAAAGGGGGTAACATCCCTCCCCTTTCTAGCAGTGTCTGCAAATCGCAACGACAACGACAACACAACTACTTTTTGTTCATCCCTACTTTTCTGAAATCTTTTTTTTTTTTGTATCCGTTTTCGGCCAATTCGTTTATCTGACGACTGTATTTCTTCTAGTTTTGTTAACAAAATCTCTGTAATTGGCACCTTTCAAAATATTTCTTTCCTAATTGTTGTGTTATTTCAAAATTACTATTTTGCCATCCTCCACCCTCAGTTTCCAAGTGGTCTAGCAGCGCGCGTATTCACAGCTACATGCTTTCTAGAAACAATCCTAATCTTCAAGAAGTGCCGAATAGAATGTAGCTCCGATTCGCCTTTCAAAAGCGAATGTAGACGTCGCAAGACATTCTTCGCCGAGTAAGCACAAACCCTCGCAGGCGATGAAAGTATAACATGAGCAACGGACATCGGTAAGACACAACTGACTGCATTCGATCATGGACGAAACCGTGAATGATGACAGAACATAGGCATCGATGTGGGCGACATTGCTGGCCAGGAGTCGGAAGTTTTTGAAGCTCGTGTGACCTGTTTCAAAGGTTATTAAGTTAAAGATAAAATACAAAATATGAGTTTGACTTTTTACAAATTCATTGTAAATTAGTGATAAAGTAAAGAGCTGCAATGAATTATACCCCATCAGACAAATTATTTGTCGCTGAACTTTTAGGTTGTAGGGTTATACCCAGAGGAAGGCGCGTACACAGGGGGGTGTTTGGGGGGTTAAACCCCCCCCCCCCCTTTGGTATTTTTCTGTGTGTAACCCCCCCCCCCCCCCCCCATAACCCTCCTACCTAAAAAAAAACCTTTGGATTTTTTTTTTTATTATTATAAAAAAAAAAAAAAAAAAAAAATTCCCATGGCTGACCTAAAAAAGGTGACCTTAACCCCCCCCCCCCCCCAACAGAGCAAAATGTCAAATTTTCAAATTTCGAGACCAAAAAAAAATAATAAAGTGTCCTCTTACCCCCCCCCCCCCCCCCCCCCCCCCTTTGAAAAAAATCCTGCGTACGCGTCTGCCCAGAGGTGCTTTAATGAATGTAACGAGTAAACATATACATCTCTGTAATGACACACGAGGCGTTATTGTTACTGCGTCAGTGATTTGTGTGGTCTTTGACGTGCCGTGGGATAGTGGCACCGTACAGCCAATGCAAATATTAGGTTTAATTAGCGTAGTATAGGTAAGTCGACACAACGCCAATTGCTAAAGACATAACCCATGTTTACAGGTGTGTGTGGGTGGGCTAGGGGAGACTGGAACACATTAAATAAAAATGTTCCTACTAATGTTCTTATCATCAAAAAAGGATTTGCTTCCTAGTTAAAATCCAAGACAACTACACGTACATGTATATCCTGGTGCATTGGATAAGGTGAATGTAGGTACTTTTCCGTTATCACTGAAGAAAAAAAACATGAAAAACCCTTGAAATAAACTATATAGACTGATATTGTTAAAACTATTATTGATCATCACTACATATTCACCTTCTTCTCTCTCGCAGATGTAATGGTGCTCGATATTACAATCATCATCCAACCATTGGTATGACTTATCTCGGTTTATAACGAAACACATCCCGTTGTTACTGATGATATGTGAATCAGCTGCGAAGATGGAGTAGGTCAGACTCGAACCGTCAAGCCAAGTCACACTGGATAATCCTATCCAGTAATCGAAATTTCGAGCGGGGAGGTTATTCACAAGAAATTCTTGTTCGTCCTCTGATCCGATGTAGACAAGATGCATTCCAAGGTCGTCACAGGATGATTTTGACGTATCGAAGTTTGACCTGCTTTGCGAGAAGTAATAACAGGATCCGTCATTCTCTCTTTGGCCAGCGGTACAAGCTGTAAGAGAGACAATCATGAAAAGGGGTTTATTATGATACATATGTTTTCGAACTATATGATAATGTGCTGTACAAGAATTTATATTATATTATGGTTATATCATATACATTTCTTATTTGAATGTGATCTGTACAAGCATTGAATGTAAAAACAAACCGAGGAAATCATCGAACTTGGGCACCTCATATTCCGGCAGTGTAGTGGTCCATTGTACTTTAATCCAACCTGAATAGTATCATAAAACGAGAGTTTGATTCGTCACTGGAGACGAATTAGGTCGTCTTTCGTAAATTTGATGGCGGTGAATGACTTTTTGATATGCTGATAACCATACCAAAAAAACTGTCGTGTACAAGACTTTTTCAGCTACAACATATCCGAAGCTGGGAGAAAATCGGGCGAAAATAAGGCAAGATATTGCTCGAACAAGACTTGAATGTAGAATCAAGATTTCAGAAAAAGCCACCTCCCTTAGAGAATACACGCAAAATTGGGAGCATTGACATGGCTCCTTTAAAATGGGTCATGATGGGCCATTGTTAAAATGAAAAAAGTGCCACATTTTGTGTTGAAAATTGTCTCAGCTACAACATATCAAAAATTGAGAGAAAAACGATCAATTTTACACACTTACACTCAGTTTTCCATAAATATGCTGACGTCATAATATAAACATTCGTTTTTTTAGTTCCAAGGCCATCGTGATAATGTCACGATATAATAAATGGCCAAATGAGACATTTTATCATATTTCCAACTCATACTCCATCCAAATATTTCAAAAATTGGGGTCCCAGCGCATCTCAAAGAGCTACAAGTATAATGTATAGGCATGTTTTTCCCCACACAAGCTCGCGGGCACAGACAACGGACGCTCATTCCGTTATTATAGACTTTTAGATTTGCACCGAGACCGTAGAAATACTGGCTGGGTTCCAGCGGGGTGCTAGTCTGATCCCGGTGTTCTTACCAGAGGAGAGGAGCTAATAGGTGACGCAGTTAGCTTGAGAAAAACTCTCATAACCCTATGACGAGAACATGACAAGGCGGGTTGGGTCGCCTTCAAATAAAGCCTGTCCTGCACCGGGCAGCAGCGATGCAGTACCTATAGTACCAAATCTTGGACAACGGTGGCTATGGGGGAGCAGAGGGCAGGTCGGTATCAATGCTTCTGGCTTCTGTACTGCGATGGAAGGATCTGGCCGCCCACCATTATTAATTGGTCACGTTTGTCATCATGTACAAAATCAAAAAATCAAGTGGGTATCGGAAGGTGGAACCCGCAGGCCGGAAGATACGTCAAGAGCTACTGCGGAAGAGAGAGGTCCTGCTCGTAGTACGCTTGCGGGTGATGACGGATCAGGATCAAAGCCTCTTGTAGGAAGTTCTTTTCTTGAGGGTCCCATGATAGAAAGGAACAATGTAGCCAATGTGGAACGTGCGTGGTATGTCAGATGGGAAGGTGGAACTGGTGGAGAAGGAGATGGCTATTAATGATATTAAAGTTTTGTGAATATCTGAATCATGGTGGCTTGGACAAGGCAGATTTACATCAGACGAAGGAAGTACAATCATCTTTTGAGGGAAAGAAAGTGGAAGGAAGCGAAGGGGTGTGGGATTCATCATAGAGAAGGCTACAGCTAAATGTGTCTTGGGATATAACCCGATCAACGAGAGGATTATGACTGTGAGATTACAAGGGCATCCTATGAATATCTCCAAAATTCAGGCACCGGAGGAAGAAATCACTGATTTCTATGAGATGGTGCAAGATGTCGTAGACAGCATTCCTAAGAAAGATTTCCTCATGATATTGGGTGACTGGAATGCCAAGATTGGTAAAACGAGGGAAAGATCTGAGTGCATTGGCAATTATGGTCTTGGCATCGGAAATGAAAGAGGAGATCGACTGGAAGAATTTTGTGTAGCAAACAGCTTCACCATTGGTAACACGTTGTTTGAGCATCATCCCAGAAGACTGTGGACGTGGATGAGTCCGGGAGACAGAGCCAGAAACCAGATAGACTACATCATGGTCAAGAAGAGGTGGCGAACTTCACTACAGAACGTCAAGACAAGACCAGGTGCTGACTGTGGCAGCGATCATCAGCTGCTTATGGCTAAACTGAGACTAAGATTAAAAGCTAAGAAATGTGATTCAGCTCCCACAAGGTATGATGTGGAAAATATCCCTTCTCAATTCTCAGTGGAAGTGAAGAACAAGTTTGAGCTGCTGTTGAGAAACGATGAAGCAGAGCAAACACCAAATGAGCTGTGGGAAGACATGAAAGAAACAGTTGAAAATGCAGCAAAGAATCACATCCCAAAGAAAAGGAAGCGGAAACAACCATGGATCTCAAATCAGACTTTTGACATTGCTGATGACAGGAAGAGGGCAAAAGCAAAACGCAATAGAGGAGAATGGACGAGACTCAATAAGGCGGTAACAAGTAGTGTGAAGGAGAACAAAAGGAAATACATCGAGGGGAAGTGTGAAGACCTAGAGCGTCACAAGAACAACTCTAAGGCAGCATTTGCAATTGTGAAAGAAATCACAAAGAAAAGAATCCCAAGACTGGATGTAATTAATGATGAAAATGGCAAAACACTGACGGCGAATGAAGACATCAAGGAAAGATGGGTGCAGTATAGTACCAAGCTGTTTGCTGCACAGGAACAAGTTGACACTCAGTGGGAGGAAAGTGATGAAATGGAGCCCCCTCCATTAAGATCAGAAGTGGAGCTTGCAATGAAACAACTGAAGGATGGCAAGTCCCCTGGCTTTGACAACTTGACTTCCGAGATGTGGTAGGCTACAGGTGAAAAAGGTACTGACCTGATGTGGCGTCTCTGTTGCAATATCTGGAATAGTAGGGAGTGGCCCAAGGACTGGTGTAGAGCCGTTTTTATACCATTGCCAAAGAAGGGAGATCTGAAAGAATGTGCAAATCACCGAACGATCAGCTTGATTAGTCATGCAAGCATAATACTTCTGAAGGTGATTAGCAGAAGAATGAAAATCAAACTGCAAGCCGAGATCTCAGATGAGCAAGCAGGGTTCCGTGAAGGTAGAGGGACAAGAGAACAGATTGTCAACATTCGAAACATATTAGAGAAATGCAGAGAACACAAACATCCCCTCTATTTGTGCTTTATAGACTATAGCAAAGCATTTAAATGTGTGAACCACTCTCATTTGTGGAATACAATGGCAAAGATGGGGTTCCTAAGTCACATCATCGAACTGATCAAAAACCTTTATCATGACCAAGAAGCAACAGTGAGAACCAGTAACGGCAACACTGAGTGGTTTGGAATTGGCAGGGGAGTATGTCAAGGCTGTATACTGTCTCCTAACCTGTTTAATATTTACTCTGAGGACATTATGAGAAATGCTCTGGAAGGATTCAAGGGGGAGTTAAGTTTGGAGGTTATGACCACGAACCTAAGTTATGCTGATGACACCACTCTCGTAATTTGCAGCAGCAGCAGAGGATCTGATTGATTTATTGAATCGCATCAAACAGGCAAGTAAAGAGAAAGACCTTCTTCTAAACACCAAAAAGACAAAAATAATGGTTGTCGATAGAGATTATGATAACACTGACTTCACCGTA